GCTCGCACCATGGCTGCGCTGTGAGCCAGCCAGCACCCCGGAAGAAAGTGCACCGTCTCTCCTACATGGTTGAGAAGGGTCTCACATATCACATTATCGTACGTCGACAGGTGGGTCCCCCCATTCCCACCTATAGGCTTGGAGACACCCGATAAATGAAGGTCAAACGAAATCAAAACAGACACATGTAACACAAAATTAATACTGTGCTTCGGAATAAATTGGTCGGTAACTGAATCATCACCACCCTAGTTGTTGTGGTGGGATCATCCAGAAAGTTCGTCTGTCTACTGCCTTCACCAAACTGACACGGCATTCTCGCATAGCGCCTGTGTGGTAGGCAACACCTGGCCTGCAGTGCATGCGTGTACTGCGGGGTGGCCTACCCTGACAAGTACGAGTCTCGCTCGCCGGCAGCGCCATCACTTGGTGTCGCAGCGAGTCAACGTCGACAACAGTCAGCTGCGCCGGTCGGACCCGAGCTCGCCGTCTTGTATGCTCGGCCACAAAGTTTAAAGTGATTTAAAGATTCGAAACAAAATATCAAATTCTTTTTTGACTCAGCTATACGTGCTTTCATGTTTACCGTGTGACGCAACCTTATTTCTACTTTCCGTGAAGCCTTTACAGTGTTAAGTGTGGGGAGGAGGGGGCAGGAGGCGTGCAGTGTTCAGTGTTCAAGCTCAAGTTTGTCACAGAAAAAGTAACAAGTAAACGTTACAAGCCCCCCTTCAAGTGACGACCTGTGTGCTGTGTATCTTTTGATCCCTTCAGGACAAAAGTTTGTTGTCGGTGACATAATCTACTAAATGAAACCAACATTGAAAACAATCACCATGTGTGTGCAGGTAAGGTTAAAGGTGGATCAAAGTTCCCCAAACGCGAGCGCGATTCTCACGCTAGGCTTGACAAAACTCAGTCCTTCATTGGCTCCCCGAAGTCTCCGGGGCATGAAAATCACACCTCACGTGAAAATCACGCTTGTGTTTCGTGAACTCTGGATCCACTCTAATGTGGGGCAGAGTGCAATGGACTGATCAGACTTGAAATCTCGTTCGAAATATCTCTTTGATGCAAAGAATGAAAGGAACTGAGTGTCAAATGATGATTTGTTTTTGTATTAGCAAAATTGCGTTCTTTTAGTACTTTAGTATTTTAATGTGATACTCGGCTATGACTGTTGGTGTTGCGGGTTTGTGATAGAGCAACATCATTTCCCCAAACAAGAACAGTTTTGCAAGTTATTTTGACCGTCATTTATTATTACGTTTAGTTTTGTTGAAATAATAACCAAGCT